ATGTAAAATCACGGCCAGGAACACGTTAAGTTCCAAGACAGTACCGTTGTCAGAAACATTTAAAGTTAAGCACTAAAAATGGCTCGTTGTCATGAAAATACAGGTAAGGTTATGACAAAAACTGTCCGGTGTCATTACTTTAGAAGACAGGTCGTGAGCAGTTTTTCATTTTTAAAGTTAAATAATTTCAACCAATGTCTGAAATTGCAATGGGGAACAGGATTGACACCCCTTTTGGTGTTGTATGAATTTCAGGCGTTCAAATCAAGTAATAAAAGAGGAGTCTGCGTTGGCAATCACATGCCCATGTGTGAAGTCATGATCATCAGCCTGAAAATTTAATATTTCTTACGTAAAATTTATCAAAATGGTCCTTTTATTTTGAAATATGAAGAAAAACTTAAGTTTACATGTGTTAGGCAACTGACAGCCTATTCTTTATAGCAGGCTTTAAGAAATCGCAATTTAAAAGCAAAATGTCCGTTGTCAGTACATGTTAAGTTTTTCTAGTCCGGTGTCTTTTTCTTAACATATAAGTTTATAAATAAAACAGTCTGACTAAAGCTATTCCCTACTATTTCACTTTGTTAGAAGTGAAATAGTAAGGGCTGGTTTTAGCCAGAATAATCAATAAATATACGTATATAACAACAAGAGGCCCATGGGCCACATCACTCACCTGAGCACTAAGGGTAGGAAAAAGTAGAAAATGTTTTTTTATTGTTCACCTGGGGGTCATAATTTGAACAAATTTGAATCTACACTTCTTGAGGATGCTTCCATATAAGTATGATGAATTATGGCTTTGTCATTCTTGAGAAGAAGATGTTTAAAGAATTATCCTATATATTTCTATATAAAACTTTGTTCGGCTATTTTGGCCCCGCCCAACCCCCGGGAGTTCATGAATTGAACAAACTTTAATCTACACTACCTGAGGAAGTTTCCCCATAAGTTTCATCTTTTCTGGCACACTGGTTCATGAGAAGAAGATTTTTAAAATATGCAACCAAATTTTCAATAATTCCTAATTATCTCCCCTTGAATAGGGCGTGGCCCTTCATTTGAACAAACTTGAATCCCCTTCACCCAAGGATACTTTGTGGCAAGTTTGGTTGAAATTGGTCCATCGGTTCTTGAGAAGAAGTCGAAAATGTGAAAAGTTTTCAGACAGACAGACGGACAGCTAGACGGACGCCGGACAAAATGTGACCAGAAAAGCTCACTTGAGCTTTCAGCTCAGGTGAGCTAAAAATGATCAAATGTATTTGTACTCTTAAGAAAGAGAAAGCATATTGCAGAAAATGTTGAATCTTTTGGGGGGTCGTCTTACGAGTAGTGTATATACCCGAACGTCCTTACCATTCTCTGATGTTTTTTAATATATAGAGTGCAAACGTATAACAATTCCTGAAATATTATCAGTAAAACAAAAATAAAATATTGGATCCACACGAACTTAAAAATACAGAAATTTTTAACACGTATTAAATTATTGACAAATTATGAAACAAGTTGCAGAAACAAGAATATCAAAAGTCTTGTTTTATAACGTCATAATTTCAAAAGTTCCTTGGTCGAAGCAATGATCTTGTCAGCAAATACAATTTATCATGGAGTCAAATGCTGACTAACGTTTTTCATAGTAATTATTAGGCCATTTATTTTGCACAATGACGGATTTTTCCCGGTACATTTCCCGATCAAGACAAGGAGCACACAGTAGGTGTAAACGGTAGACAGAGGATGTTCACTCCTAAAAGAATTTTTTGAATAGGCAAGGAAATTTATTCAAAATGAAGAGAAATATGAACCAATGACTGGAATCTTTTACTTTGAGATATATAAAGCTCTTAAATTAACGTTTGCATAAAATCTTTGAATATTTCCTCAATGATAAAAATAATATAATAAATATATATTAACAGATAATATAATATTTGAATACATGTTTTTCCGCGTACCGCCAAGTTATAATTTTCAAAAGTTAACATATTCGAAGGATTTTTAATATTCTTTTTTTTATAGATTATTATATAAATTTGCATAAAACATTACTTTTTTGGGAAACAAAAACAAATAGAGATAAGTATAAGAATTTGGTAAAACTTTTGTTTTTCACAAAAGAAATCAACGAAAAACGGAAAATACCCCCCCCCCCCCACACCCACCCCGTGAAACAAAAATTCTTTTTTACAGGTGATATGGATTATTTTTTTTTGTTTAAATGGGGGGGGGGGGATTTGTATATTTCATAGACAAAAAACGACAAAAGCAATATTATCATAGATATGTTTATAGACAAAAATCGACAAAAAACAAAAACAAAACAAAAGAAAAATTATCACACATAATTCATTTTATGCCGCTATGAAAAATCTATTAAATCTTAAACCGTCGAATAGTTACCATGGTTACGGATTTTTTTAATCGAATAAAATCTTTGTTTTTGTTGCGCCATTTCTGTTACCCTGTTAGTGTTATGGAAAAAAACCCTCCACCCATTCTTTTTATGGATTCATTTCTGTATTGTTTTGCATTCTGGTCAAAATTTGTATTTTTCTTATAGTAGTAACTTGTCATCTTGGATTGGTGCAATTGTTTGGATGCCTCCAAGGATTAACTGATATTTTCATTGCATGTAAATTTCTAGTCAGTCTCAGGGGGATCACACTTGTACCTTTCATGCACCTATGTTCATGATTTATTTTATTTTGTTTAATATCGGGTGATCCCCCTTAATGGTTTGTTATAATTTTACTTTCTGCCAATCAAGTGAATGAAATAATCGACAAAACTGCATATCTGATGTTTGGTTATTTAACCAAACTGAAACTGAAAAATTACATTTTATGAATACATTTATTTTTATAATTTCTTTGCCGAAAACATAAGAAAATATACTAGGAACATTTAATCATATCCTAGACAATTTCAAAATATGGTGATCCTTCAAGGGAGAATATCGTCTACCCCCGACCCCCCCCCCTTTTTTTTAAGAGCTTGAAATAGGGATAATTCACTATTTAGCGCTGGTATCAAAACAATTCATCAATTACCACTTAACTGTTCTTTGTATTAAAAACGATTTTATGGCCAAATTGCCATTAATATTAAACAAAATGAGTGCAAAATGTAGGCAGGAATCGATAGTCAGCGAGCATATTTCTTCCTTCACTTTGAAATTAGTTTTTTAAGGGAAAAGGCTGAAGCCCATATGTATGACAAACAAAAGCTGAACATTAATGTATGAAATATAGAAAATAGCATATGTTTAGTTTTTTTATGACTACTTAGCATATTTATTGAAGGCATGTTTGAAATTTATCAAAGCATTAAAAAAAACTAAAATCGACCTCCTTCATAGTGTATACGTACAGTAAAGTAGCGACAACGGACATATGACAACGGACTGAATTTTCGTATCTTGTCATGACAACGGACATAAATTATAATAAATCAAATATTTCAGTTTTAATTTGTTTAATTTTTTCCTGTAAATGCTTATAACATGTCTTGATACTGACTGCATCAATTGGTATATATATGATGTTCTATTTACAACAAATATAACATCTCAGAAGGAAAATGAATGAAATCCACGTTTGATTTCACCAGGGTTTAATATCGCCAACGCAAACTCCTCTTTTATTACTTCATTTTAACGGCTGAAATTAATACAACACCAAAAGGGGTGTCAGTCCTGTTCCCCATTGCAATTTCAGACATTGGTTGAAATTATTTTACTTTAAAACTGAAAAACTGCTCACGACCTGTCTTCTAAAGTAATGACACCGGACAGTTTTTGTCATAACCTTACCTGTATTTTCATGACAACGAGCCGATTTTAGTGCTTAACTTTAAATGTTTCTGACAACGGTACTGTCTTGGAACTTAACGTGTTCCTGGCCGTGAAAATGCCATGTATAAGATTCGCCCCCCCCCCCCTTTCCGTGAAACGCAAAATGCTTTGGTATGAATTTGTGAAATAATAGCTGCAGATCTGTACCTTGCTGATCTGAAAACCAGATCGATGTCGTCCATGCCATTTTTTTTTTCAGTCCAGCGAACTACAGATCTCCAGCTTGTGAAATAACAGTTCATATACCCTTTCAAAAGGCTACTTCTCCTACCGTTTTGGTTTGATTGCATGGAATTACCTGGTAATATTACCACAAAAAGAAATTATAATAATTATCATAGTAATACCTGTAAAAAGGAATTTTTGTGTTGCAGAGGGTGGGGGGGGGGGAGGGGGTTTAAAATAACAAGTTTACGAAAATTACAGATATCTCTCCTTGTTTTTCCAGGGCAAATAAGTTAACTTTCAAAAATGACTTGAAGGTAGGCGGCAGAACAACACATGTTGGAAGTGTAAATAAAAAAAGAAATTATTTATAACTAAAGCATTGCCTGTTGATTTCTTTCAGTGAAGGAGGATGGTTTATCAACATTGATTTGATCCCCTCCATAATTGTTCAATTTTTTTTGGTTAAATTAAAAACCTTATCCTTTTCCGTCGGGTTTGAAAGATGATAAAAATCATCGTTGAAATATATTGCCTTGTGCGAGCAGCATAAACGTTTTATTTCAATCACTATGTACAACGCTTGTTGTTCACATTTAGAATCTTCAAGTGGTTTGCAAAATACGCTCATCAAAATCAATTAAAAGTCAGGACAAGACTGATTCTTTGCTTTTAACATCTAAACGAAATTTAACAGGGGTCTATTCAATGCTTTATTTGTTCACTTAATCTCGATTAAAGACTCGTCTCAAATTCCTCACTAAGCATTTTAAATCGTTCGCATATCATCTTCTACTATAGTATTTCAAACAGTAAACTTCTACACACTTCAAAAATAATTGAATTCATTGACATGCCACCCTGTGCCAATATTTGTTGTGCAATCTCCATTTCACGTGTTTTTCAAGTCTTTGATAATGATCAATGCAATATAATTCAAAGATTATTTGCTTCAAGAAAAACACATCGAACACACACTGCATTCACTTTATTTCAAAGTGTCCAACCATACAAAATCACATTTGAGCAAAACAATATTAAGAGAAGAATGATGGCAATATAGCAATATAAATAGCATGATAGCACTATGATAACAATAATACGTGTACACACGGTGCGGTTTCTAGGAGAGCGCATGCGCTCACTTTATTCCTATGGTTGTTTCAATGGAATTAAAGTTTTTGTTTTAAATAATATCACAAAAAAACAATGAATTTTAGACCTTAAATAAACGTCTTTTTCAGGTTAAAGGACACCGACTTATATCACAGTTAAAGTATATATATACAATTCATAAAAGTCCACTTGGACGGAATGTTAAGTTATAATAGCAATATTTTTTTTTATAAAAAAATTTCCTTTGCACACAATACAATACTGAGTGGGTGATATAAATAGACACATAATTTTCATGCTCTTCAAAAGCATTCAATGACTTAGAGCAAGTTTTAACATATAACAATGTGTAAACTCTAAAAAAAAAAAAACTAGTTAACGAAATGCGAAATGGCGAAAATACAGTATCACAGCCTAATCTGTAAAAAAAATTATATTTAATACTGATATGTAATTATTGTACTGTGGTAGAGTGGCTGCAAATACTCATTTTCAAATTAAAATAATTACGATCATCGTTTTTCAGTTTTCCTTATTCTTTAACAGTTTGATTCATGGTGAGTCAGCATGACATTTTTTAAACAGAGACAATTCGGGGTGACATTGGGAAGGTCTTGCGCATGCCCAAACATTTTTCCCTGTCGATGAATAAACTGTTGTTCTTAATAGAAAGATCCTGTTCTAAGCTGGCCTTGGTACGGAGCAATTCCTGAAGGGAGTTCTCGGCCATACGTAGCTTAGCTTGTAAGGACTCGACGGTTTCTGAGATTTCACCAACTTCCTCAACCAATCTGAAAAACGAAGTCAGAAGTCAATGAATATTCAATATACGCATCTAAGCTTGTCATCAAAAAAGGGATATTTCCAAAAATAATTGTCCAAATCTAAACCACTGGATGACATTCCCTCTATCCATGAAAGTGTAAATAATCAAAGCACATGACCACCCCCTCCCAACTCCCAACCCCAAACCTCTCCCGAGAAATTGAGTATCGTACCTGTGTTGAACTGGATCGCGACACAGTTCGACGTTGGGTCTGCGTATCCTGGTATCCAGACGAGTTTGAGCTACCTGCATTGGTGCCTGTTTATCCTGAATTGCCTTCTTCAACAGTTCAATGTTCTTCTCCATATCGAAGATCTCTTGCAGAACCTGTAGCAAACAACGAAAAAACGTGGGAGGTTCCGTTTTTCAGATACATCATTAAAAGACATAAACGCAAATACATGTAGAAAGTATCAACCACTTTTGCAAAGACGTTTTGTCGGGTATTCATGGCACAATCGAACGTTTTACCGTCCAATCGACTTAGTACCGCAAAGATGTGTTTAAAATTCATAAGACTAGGAGAAATACCTTTGATAGATGAGTCTGGAGTCTGTTTCTGGCATCTGTGGTTTCCTGCATCCTCTGGTTCAATGCCACATTGACGGCGTTCCATTCCTGCCACATCTCGTTGGCACAAGAGTTGAGCACGCTTTCGATCTCGTTCCTCATTGCCTTGGAGGCGGCCCTTTCGCTCTGGGACCTCTGGATGTTGTCATTGCTAAATCTAGCCCAGGACTCAGGCACGGAAACGCTAATGTATAAAAATCAATCATAAATGACCAATGCAAAATTACAACTTTTTGTTAGAAAAACGAATGATCGAAAACGCACAGTACAACATGGAAAATTATTAAACAATAAACGTAGATCTAAAGTTAAAACTATAAATGTTAGATTCATATACATGGACACACAAATGCTTTTTGCAAAGAAACTGCTGGTTTGAATTGGAAAAGGAATGCAAGGTGCTGGTATCTTAGGAAAGTGCGACGTGGAGGCATTGTTACAATGTACAATTTTCAAATATACTGGACGTGTCTACAGACGTTGTTTAATTACCACGTCTTTTTATTGTTGTGGTTCTCAAAATTGTGCAAAGACAAAAAATGTGTTAAAACAAGCAAGACACATGTATTAAAAAGGAATCATGACTTTAGGGAATGATTGTGTTCTTTAATTTCGTTGTTCAAATCAATTTTTTTTAATTGCACTTTGATGTTCCTAATATTTAAATTGTACACAAAAAAACATCTGTGGAATTAATGCAGAAAAAAAGCAATCAACAGAAGACTTCAAACAGAAGAATAGCAGGCGTCAAAACGGCAACTCCACTCAACTCACGTTCTGTCAATTCTGTGGACGCCATTATGGAACGCAATACCACGTGACTGGTTGCGCATTCCAAAGCATTGCTCATCCAAGTTCTGAGCAACGAATTTGTCGGATGAATCTCTTTCTAGATCGTGTTGTGCTGCTCTATTCAAGCTACAGGATAAAGGATCAACTATTTCAGAACATGAACATTGGTTACTTACGTATTATCAATTCGGTGAACTCCGTTGTGGAAGGCGATTCCCCGAGAACTGTTTCTAAGGCCGAAACATTGTTCATCTAGTTTCTGGGCAATAAACTTGTCCCCGGAATCCTTTTCTAATTCATGCTGAGCTGCTCGACATAA